GAGGCAGATATGTCGACTAACCGAAAGAACGTTGTGGAGGTGGATACCGGTCAGAATGAGATAATTCTCCTTCACTGGAATACTTAAACTGGCGACGAGCGTAGTTAACACGCAGTCGGCGGTTTTCAAATATAGTTCTGTCCAACTAGAAGATGCATTATAAGTTAGGTCGCGGGTGCCTACTTGAAGAGCCCTTTCTGCTTCCTCTGGAGAACTGAGGGTCACAAGTGCGTAACTGCAAAATAAATCATTTTGAGTTAATGGGATGCCATGAAACCTTGAAGAATGTTTATAAGGATCAAAGCTCAGAGGCTAAGAAACTCATTTTTAATAAGAGACTCAGTAAAATGCGACCGGCAAACAACGACCCCTGTTTTGAAAAAAATAGACGGATAGTGTGGATTGAGTATCGAGACCGACCTCTACAAGGCGGAATTCTGAACAATAGCAAACAGAAGGATTTGAGTTTCCCCATGGCTTGTTTAAAGGCACGTTTACCGGTCCCGAGTTTATGAAGATATTGGGAAGAATCACAATAAGCAAAAACTTAGCTTAGTGGATGAATAGTAACAAAGGGAGGGGTGTGAGCTATGAAGATGCCAGAGGCAGCACGCACACACACTGGCAAAGGCGAGTTCCACATTTCACAAAAAATGCGTTTGCCGCAATAAACTGAAAACTTTTAAAATACATGATCGGCACAGTAAGACTGATTTCATCCACTGTTAACTCGCACCCTCAACCCACGTAGTCATAGCTGTTTGGGTTGCGCAAAAAATATTGTCATTTAGGAAAAGAAGGGAGTACCTCTTTCGCTCGTCTAGCCGAATACGTTGAATGGGTCCATAAGGCTCTAGGATTTGCCGAATAAGGGATTCGGACATATCACAACAATTTATGTGTATGGTTGTGCCACCCCGTCTACGACTATTGGAGTCTTCCTTAAGAGAAGAGTAGTTGGAGGATGTAGACTCTGGAGCATGTCTACTGAAAGGTTTGTTTGCTGCTGTCACATCACCGGTCTGATCTTCATAGCCCAATGGCGAGCGACTGAACTTCCCACTGCGCTTTACATCATTTGAGCTTGCGGTATCACTTGAATAAGGCTCTGGTGGCTCCTTTTTCAAGGGCTGAGAAGACGTCGGCTGCATTCTTTCACCATAGACGAAGTTGTCGTAAAGATTCATTCTTTTGTTTTTTTGTTGACCTTTATGCATGCGCCGGTAAGCACACAAAATTACCTGAAACGTCTTCTACATCACCAGACAAAAAGTCCGACTCCCTGATCTTTCTTTTAAAAACGTGCTTTTCAGTAGCGCTTCCAAAGGAAATGGCGCCGGACTTTAGGAGTTTCATGGCCTCTTCTTTGGCCTTGTCCGTATTCTTAACATCTGGCAAAAAACAAGAACAAATACAGCGTACTCTTATTCCTTTCTTCTTTTACACGCAGGTTGCTGGCTTCCTGGTTTAGGTCGTTAAGACAAACCCTCTGCCAATTAAAAATGGTGATGTCAGTTACCATTTGTTTTAGCATCCTTAGTTCACTACGCAGGTCAGCCTCAACTTCCGTCAGCTTATTATCCAACGGAAGCACGACTTATGTGACAGGATAAAGGCGAGCTAACTGAACATACATGAACTAAGCGCCTCCTCTACGTCTGCGCTAAAAATTAGAAGGGAATGCACAATGTGGTAAAGTTACTTTGAGTAGTCTTGCAAATCCCCAGGCAAACTATTTACATCCCGCATATTCTGGTTCTTTATCTGGAAAAAACCGGCTGGACTTCGGCACAGTAAAACTATGCATTGTAATCGTGAATTGACATTTGAAGTCAGTTACTCAGAAATATATGTGCGAAAGTAATTCCGGATTTAGGGATTATGAGTATCTTTCTAAATTCGCTCTGCAGTAGGAGCGCATACTAAGTCTAGAGAAAGCACTTAAGGACACGGCGTAATTGATTGACAGCGGGAGAACTAGCAGATGGACAGCCAGTAACAAATAGAAAAGTAGGAAAGGAGCTCTAACACTACGCAAAATAAAACAGCGACATGGTAAACGTAATCAACTTTGGTAAAGCGTGTACAATACAACGAAAACCGCTAAAACGTGTTAGTGCTTACATTTAGTAAATCGACCTAATGCCACGTGTAATTCCGATATGAACCTTTCATCAACACTTTGTTCGATGTAGAACCTTCCAATTTTTGACCCCAAATTCGCTTTCCTTTAGAATAACCTCTCTTTTGAAATAAGGCCATCGTCTACATGAGCGGTATTTAAACTGAAGTCATGTAAGCATTTTACCCCGGAAGATATAACGTAATTATCTTCGTTTCATTCTCAAACGCTCAGCCGGAATTTGAGGCGATTCTTCTTAGTGCTCGTCGGTGTTAAACTCACTGATATTTTCCCCACGTAGACGATTTTCGCAGTCTTTGCCATCCCCTTCTCAGGTTGACTATAATGCGATCTACTGATGACACGGATGGATTTCTCCATTTTGTCACACTGAAGATGGTTTCCTCGATAATCGCGGTCACGTCTTTTCGACTGTATGCTATCCACGAAGATCTTCTGGGCCGGGGAATGCAAGATTGCATTTACAGCGCATTGGGGTTGTGGTCTGCGCAGCCTCTAAAATCCTTCCTTGTCTCGGGATTAATCGAGCCTTTGACAATCGCGACGAGTTTCTCTGCTTCGCCACCTTGCCGGTGGTTTCTCAGTCAGCAAGGAAGCACCATGGTCGCATTTCTCACACTTCAGCAATGATCTTCGTCCCTCTCCATTCCCTTCTTTATTTCAATCCTAAGCGGACAACTAATGCCCGGAGTGGGTTCTACTGTCTTGCCGCCCGAACGGCTGCTTCCAAAGTTGTCTGACAAATGTGATTTTATCTACAGCGATATGGCTGTGCAAGCATACCCTTTCGTTATACGATTTTTCCCTTAACGTGGAGATTTTCTGTCCTTCCTGCGCTATTATCAGCAATGTGGTTTGATTTCGTACATCACTTTTCCTATCACGAACGACATATTCCTTTTCCCCAAAAACGCGCAAACCACATCGGGTGTACATCGTTATTGACTGACGTGAACACTCGTCCAAATAATGAGCCGTACGGTTTGGTCAACTACCTTCATTTGTACGTACCGGTTAACAACCCTGTGCGGGCAATAATCCTCTCAGAATACCCTACGAAGTCACTGTATTTCGGCGACCCTAACTTCTGTAAACTGATGGACCAAAAGAATGTCCCTCTGCATTTGTTTTTGTGGCTGATTTGGTGGTTGCTGTTGCATTCAGAGTATCGAATTTTCTTGTACTCAGTTTTTAAAGTTATTTCACTAACTATACATTTTCTAATTTTATTAATGTTTTATTTTTTCAAAGTTGATATTTCTTAGCCGTTAAAGGCCCGCTCCTAACATGAAGAATCTCATTGCCATAACCGACTTACAAGCTAATGGCGGACTCCTCTTCACTTCTTGCCTTTGTCTTCTCTCAAGTGACTGCAACATCAAAAGATTTTTCTGGCGTGGCATTCGAGTTTGGATAATTACGACCCGGAGTTAGCGTGGTACCGGTCTGTCGGTCGCTGTACTTCGCTGAATGTTAGTTGCTTTCCTGAGCAACTTGATTTTAGGCCAGTAGTATTGAAGATAGAGGAAAACCTTATGGATTACCGGTTGGTTATCCTTTTCTCTATTCGTCGTGAATATTGTGCCCGGAAAGGCCCCGTCGGGATGTGCGTTTATCATCGAAACCCGAGTTCCTTTGAGGACATTAGAGTTATCACCCAAGTACTTATTGCCCCAAGTACTGGAATTTGAAATGTACGTTAGAGTCATTGATTGTTCTAGACGCATGATTGCAGAATCAGGTGCATTATACACATTCTGCATTCCATTTGCATCCGGTGTACATCTGCTTGTAGCTTTCTCTGATCGCAGGTCCGAGTGTGAATTCAAGGCGACAGGTGAATGGCATTTTTGCTAAGGGTTGGATCATCTTTTCAGCCTCAAAAGCTTTAATTTATTTCAATTTTTTCCATTGGCATTCCTGGCTTACATCAAATAGATTAGGATGGAATTACTGACTAAGCGATTTCGGAATAGCTCCTTCGTAGAAAGTGTGGAAGAAAATGCTCGAAGTTTTATTTTGTACTCCTTCCACCTCCCCGGAAAAGACTGCAACCAGAGTTTTCGATTGCTACCAAACAATGTCCGATGTTTTTAAACATGGGAAAATCCATAGAAGATAGCTCTCATTATATTTAGGATATGAGCTGAAAACGTATAGAAAATCGTAGTAACGTTCCTACGACATGTAGACTCTCGTTTTTGATCTCTTAAGGTCCATATCATGCAAAGCTGACCAGACTGAATGTGAGAGTAAGCCTCGCATTCCAGCCCATTAACTGGACTCTCCGAAATCCAGTACCAGCTTAAGGCGAATTTGCATCATGACACCTAGAAGGCTGAAGATGATGATAAGGAGGAGGAGGAGGAGGTGGAGAAGGGGGAGGAGGAGGAGGAGAAGGAGGAGGAGGAGGAGGAGGAGGAGGAGGGGGAGGGGGAGGGGGAGAAGGAGGAGGAGGAGGAGTTAACAGGAAATTGTGCACCCGCACTACAAAACACTATCAGCTGAGAGGTGATGCCGAGGACGTGACTAACTACAACAGTCAATTTCCACCTGTAATCATGAAGCAGCTGAAGAGGACAAGACAACTTCAATTAAGTTACTTCGCTAGAAAGTCAGAAGAATATTCTTCTGAGTTACTATTCATCGTTTGCAGAATTTACAATCTGTTAGGTTTGATGCTTCCTCTAATTTTTTCAGTGCATAAAAGATTTGAAGCAAAAGAACATCACATGCTATTTGCGGCTACTGTTCCTCGCATGTAGAATTTACAAGCTGTCAGGTTTATCGTGCCCCCCGATGCTTCCCGCGCACAAAAGAGTTTGAACGACAGAACACACTGTACAGAAATAGGGTTAATGTGGGTTGACTTTTGCTAATTCGTTCTGATCAGCTCATTGAATATAAAAAGGTTGTATTCTGAGTTTTGTCACCACGTTAACTTGGAAGATGGCACGCACACTTGACTTTTAAAGCTTCGAGTCTAAAGAGACGGAGCCAGAGTTCCCAACTCAAGTGCCAGAACGTCTGGTTTAACGACCAACTGAGCTTGAATTTAGGCCTGAAGTCTTTACTTCTGTGCACTGATGTATGACCTATGGAGGACGCTGCATAATTCGAAAAGAGTTGTTCTAATCTTCTTTGCCTTCGTTAGTAGGCGACTCTAATGCCATTAAATTATTAAGGAATTTTTACTGGAGAATAGGACTGGTCAAAATGTGTTCTGCGAATTAATTTGCTTGCCTATGTTCTCTTCCTAGTGACTGGGTCATATTAGGATGTACATGTCTATGACTTAGACCGTGGGGGTTGTTTACATTTTGTTTTTAACACAAGTGATTATTAGTACTGCACGCTCTGGAGTACAAATAGTGCTGATAAGTTCCTTTCGCACAGCATCCTGTGGAAGCCGTTTCAATGATAAACCACTTGCAATTATTTATCTTCTAAGACTGGGATAGACTGGCGCACCAGTTGAAGTCCCAACCGCGGCCGCCGCCGTACGGACAGACCTGAACGAAAATAAGCGGCGGGGTCAATTGTTTGGACTTTAGTAAGTGGCCCAGTTCATCCCAGCCAGCGCGACCCATAGTTCATCCGTCGCAAGTAACGAGCAACAGCACCATCGCGGAGAGGGTGCAGTTAGTTATCTTAAGGCGGAGCGGACTTTGAAGCATCTATCTCACCTTCAGCGTGCATCGTCAAAAGCCACGACTGCGAACTAAAATCACTGTAGCGCAAGAATCGCCCACCCAGCATCCACGAAATCTATACTGCGTTAAATATACGTCCGAGCTTCAAAACGAAACATAGTTTAGTCGATACAGTACTATGTATTTGCTGAGAAATAACTTATCTTACGAAAACCCCCCAAATAAAAAGACGACTTTATGACGTGTCAATTAGTTAAGGCCTAGTATAACATTCAGCAGGGAAGTAAAGTGCCATACAACGACAAAATGATGAAAAGCAGCAATAAATACAACGTATTAGTGCTTTGCCGATTGTCCTTTGATTTATCAAATTGTTTTAAGGTGGGAGGGCATGGAGACTACTAAGTTGTTTATGGTGATTTGGTTTATATGATTATTTAGTACCAAATCCAGCTTTCAGTGCATTCAAAGATGTTTTCTTGCCTTGTCCTAATACCTTTTGATCAATGCAAATAATTTTTGGTAGTATTCAGGTCTGGTCTGTTGAAGGGGACAAAAATGTTTCGTAGACCGAAGGCGGAGAGGCTGGCTGTGGTCTGAAATATTAGATTATGGTCTCAAACTGAATTGGAATCATGCCCCCATTTAGCGGTTAACAGGGGCATTATTATGCAACATGACGGTGTCCGTTCGACTTCGATGAGCGCCATTCCAACCGATTTCGATAAACAACTTGCTATCTATCGTCTCTGCTGTTGAACACCAGCATAGTCTCTTTCCGAATATGGTGGCCATACAAACCATCAGGCTTCAACAGTTCCTTAGATTTAGAGTCGACAGAGTGTGCTTTCGTTAAAAGTTCATCTCACATATTACCACATGGGCCGACTTCGGAGGCTTGTCTAAAAATAAGACCTCATCACAAAAGTAAATGCTTTTCCAAAATGAAAGTCTGTGATTAATGCATTTTGACCAAACAAAATACGTTCTCCAGTAAGTTGTCTACTTAAAAATTGCTTTGGCAAGGCGTTTCGCCGATTGAGGCCGAATTCCTTCATTCTTTTTTCTAATAATGCGCAAAGAAAACATTGACAAATGCTCCCTGTAAATATCCTAAAGGGGCATATAATGATATCTTTTCAGTGTCCCAGGGATGAAATCGTCGTCTGGCCTACTTGTGAACCGTTTCAATCCAGCTTGCTTAGCTCTGGGCATTGTTTTATTATTAATTTTCCAGAGAGTGACCTGACTTATATTGAAAATACTAGTTAACGACTCACTCGACAGTCCTTTGGCTGCCAATGGTCGTATCCGCTCGAAGTCAACTACCGACAGGAATCGTCTCGATACCCTTGTCCCATGGCGTGGCACGGCAAAGTGGCAGCACGTGACGCGCGAATTTATGTATGCCTTTTTACGCCTCCTAGTTTCGGGTGTGATAAAACAAACACTGACGAACAAGCTTATTACTGCGTTCGACGACATAAAACGCCGCAATTTTGCTAAATAGAATTTGTAACGAACAAATTGCTTTCTGTTTCATAAAAAGAATTCGCTTTCGAATACCCGTGTTGACCTGATTTTCATGAACTAAAAAACAAATTTTCTGTTTTCAGAGTGGATTTCTCTGATACCTTCTTGATTATATGAAAGTTCCTTTATAGTGTAACGCCATAGGTGATACTTACTAGAACAGAAAATTAAGTGGATATCCAGAAACGTCAAAAATTACCTAATCTTGGCTTGTTTGCCCTCAATAAAACAGGGCCAACGTGAGTCTCCCTTTAGAAGAGGGTTTTCCGGAATTCCAATCAATTCTTAAAACGCAACTAACCACACCAAATACAGTGCCACCAATTCCAATACCGATCTCGACCTTTCATGAGTTAGGTCATCTACTGTACATCAAGTTAACATGATCACCATGAAGGCACGTTGTGAAGGAGCTACTTTAGATCGACCATCATTCGAAACCACCAAGGTCATAACTATTAGTCCGTCGCGACTGTCTATAAACGCAGGCAGTCATCTAAAGTTAGAAAAATATGCGTCGAATGCCAGCTGGCTCGACCTCCTTTTTCCCTTTCCCCCTATTCCGTATCAACGACAACTCCGAGTCAAACTGACTAGGAATGAGATTGAACGCTGTGACTTATGTAACTTACGGCGGTTGTCCAGCAAGTGGCATATGCGAACTCTCACTCCGCAGAAGTGAGAAATACTATATATGCGTATCAAAAAGGAGATGATACTGTCAGATCTCCACTTCAAAGAAAGCCAAATCAACCCGTGAGTTGTTAGCCTTCAAAGTCATGAATACCAGTGTACTGCAATAGATTCAAGTGTGTATAATCGATTACGGTGAGTCGACTGTTCTCTGAAATACTTTGATGAATGACTTACTAAAATCAGTCTCCCTCTCTTCTTCGCCATGCACGCGTAACGCCTGTGTTTCCTGTCTTCCTTACTGCTTCCGAGAAAGGCCCTTTCAAAGCAAATGGTTCCTTGTCTCCTTCAGCTTTCCCTTTACACTCACTAGTATCTGAATTGACTTTGATCATAGCAACATTCACTCCGACAGCCAGTCCCTGTCAAAGATGCAATGACTACTTTCTCGTCACACGAGTCTACTTAGAAAGGAAGCCAAAAGTGGAGGTAATTATAATATTGTAACGTAGTAGTAACGGAGGCATAGAGAAGGTCGCAGCCTCTTTATTGATCGATTCTTCCAAATTCCTTGTGGATTTGGTGAGGACTCCTTCTGTGTTCGGTGAACGTTACCGCTAAGCCACGGATACTTCAAAAGAGGAACGAAGAACGGAATTACCCGTAATCAAAAAAGACATATCAACTACTAAACCAAACACGCGGTCGGCAATCTGCGCTTTACAGCACCCCCACCCCTTCCAAAGATACGGTGCTTTCCTCGGGGCCGCCGAGCGGGATGTCAGGTATGTCGTTGGCTTCGACTTCCTTCGTGGGTTAATGAACCAGATGGGGTGGAATTATTGGGGGGAGTTAGCGGTCGCGTTGGTAGGTCGACCCTTGCACGTTTTAAATTTATAATAATGCGCCGTAAACATGGGGTCGCCGGGCCTCCGGCCACATACTTTGAAATGAGCTATGCTAACAGGGATTTTCAACAGACCCCGTAGTCGCGTGCGGTAATATTATTTGGGTAAATGGTTTTGATAGCTATCTCCTAAAATTTTCCTATAAAACAACCGCCGTCAAAAGAATTTCGAACTGACAGTATCAAGAGGTTACAGACCTTTTTGTTTTGCACCTGTTCCGCTTCGTTTTTATTTGGCTCAGTTGCATACTTTTGCTATAATAAGGCGAATCTTTTATAGCTGAGTATTTTAAAATAAAGATACTGGGAAAGAGTTGGTCCAGTGAATGAGGTGACTGTAGAACAGAAATGAAGATTTCAGTCTTACTTCGATGCTCCACGGTTAGAGTCTACGGGGCTGCGGTGGGAATACCACTGGCTGATAACCGCGAATAGACCAGATATATGTCTTGTCGTTACCTTCTTTTTGTAGATAATCATTCAACAGACTTTTTCTTCGTCTGATTTTCAGTCAGCCAGCCAGAACTTGCCCGAATGTCATTGTCTTTCAAACACGTCCAAAACGATTTTTCAGAGTAATCGCTGAAGGACACGATTCATTTGAAAGTTAGAAAGTGATATGTCAGAATATCCTGCTAGAACCCCTAGAATTTGCGGTTAAGTAGACTTGTACAGAAAAAGCCAGAAAGCCCGCATCATCACATTCCCTAACACATAGTGAAGGTCGATAATAATGAACTTTACACTTCAGCTTTCGTTTGTTTGTTTTGCAATCTGGTAAGTGGTCCATTGTTCGTGGTCCCCACTGCCCAGTTTGGTGGGTAGTTGCTCTGTGAAGCCCACCGGAATGGTGTGCGCCTTGGACTGTGCGAACGTTGTATGCGACCAATCCCGACGCCGACGAAGATTGGGCGGCACAAGTTTGGCTCTGCTGCTGTTGCTGTTGCCAATGTTGACCTATCGGTCAGATATCATATGGAGAACACCTGTGAAGTGTGCGCAGTATGGCGCCTCAAACGAGTCACGCGGTAGATGGGCTGGACCAACCCAGGGGCTAGATCGGAGTCTGGCAGGTGTTACTGAGAATGCGCACCCATAACAAATGTCAACGTTGGGGTGTGATGGCAGGCCAAGTTACATGCTTACGCCACGCCACTTGGGATCCCTGCTGCCCCTACTTTTGTTTCGGTATAAAACCTTTATCAGCGTAAGCTGTGGACCAGAAGGTGTGGTGGTACAACTAGGTGCGGGGTTTCGCTGTGCCAACCAACAGTTCGACCGTCGCGTCCGACGATGGCCTCCGTGTGCTCCACAGCAAGATGCAGCAGACACGGTGACTTGCTCGTGAATTAGTTTATGGCGAGAGTGGACTTGCGCAGCATCTACCGAACTCTCCCCTCCCTCTCCCCACCCACCTAAGCCCAGTGTCAGGACATAGTCAGGAAGACCGGAGATGAGGGGGCGTAGGTGGCTGGAACTGCTGGACCCGAACCCACGCCTATCACCACACCCCCTCGTCCAAAATAAACACTTGACCAGAATTTTAACTAACAACAGCAACACAACGGTTCAGAAGGACGAGGATGACAGGGCAGCCATGTTCACTATCTGTACATCCAGCTGGAGCTCAAAGGCATATACCAGCAGGGAACGATGTGTCAGGGAAATGCCAGTGCATACCAGTCTGCGAGGTCCATGGGTTGCTGATCCTGGCATAGCAGACGCCTACAGACCTTTAGGGTCAGAGGAGTGACACGTGGCCCTGCATTTGCCTGGGTCGTCACCCTTCAAGGCTGGACAACCAAACAGTCGTCGAGTGAGAGGCAATATTCATAAAGCACACACACTCTTCACATGCGTGAGAGTGCTACAGACCACTTAAAAGAGAACTGTGACAGCCTGGCTCTCAGCCCACCAATCCGCGATTCCCCACAAACACACATAAGTGGGCATACTGCGTGGATTGAGGTGGGACATCAGTCGGCAGCTTTCCAAGCCATGGCGCGTGGCGCACTGTGATAGTCTCAGACTCGTGTCACACATGCATCAGAGAGGTCTCATGGAGCAGGAGCCGAGAAGTACACTTCCCACTGCGTGATAGGTAGAAACTGGATGCTTGTGATGGGTGATGCTTTTGTGAGGTAGTGATGCTGGTGGGAGAAGGTGTGATGGTGTGGTGTGACGGGCGGTTGTCCACTGCAGGTTTTCGTGAGTGCCCTTGTGGCCTATGAGGCGAATGCGACGGATATATGTGGGCGCTCCAAGCACCGGTTCACCTACCTCTGTGCAATGGATTCGTAAGTGACCGGCCAGGCCAATGGATGAGGTGAAAGTACGAACTCAGTGTATGCAGGATGCATCGGGAGTGTCAGAGTCGGTTTCGGTGGTAGTAGTAGTAGTAGTAGTAGTAGTAGTAGTAGTAGTAGTAGTAGTAGCAGTAGTAGTAGTAGTAGTAGTAGTAGTAGTAGTAGTAGTGTTGGTCGTGGAGTTGCTGATAGTGGGCGCGTTGGACGACGGGGTGTGTTTTGGGCTAGGCATGGTGTATGCGCCAGGTGTGTTGAAACTGCAGTGAATCCCGCTGTCGTTAATGCGCATGTGACCGAATAGGCCCATGGGATAGGTGAATGTGGGGTGCAGTGGTGGCAGTTGAGGCGGATGCGGCGAGTGTAGGTTGGTGCTCCAGGCACTGGTTCGCGAGTCTCTGTGCGATGGATTCGCATGTGACTGATCAGGCCGATGTATGAGGTGAGTGTGCGATCGCCACAAGGACAGTTATGAACACAGTCCTCATGGCTGAAGTTAGGGATGTCGGTTATGTTTGTAGTTGATGGGAGTCTGCCCTCTGAACGGGCCACGTGTTAGGTGCGCTGGACCAACACGGGGGCCACATCGTACTCTGGCAGGCGTTATCTGTGCGCAATAACAAATGCCAACACTTGCGGAGTGCGCTGGCAGACCCTGTTGTCGGCAATCGTCATACAACTGGACCACTGCCACCACCCCATTGTTTTGTGGTCAAAATCCTGGTCATTTGTGTGTGGACCATGGGGTGCGGAGTCGAGCGCCAAGGCGAGGATCCGTCCAAGCCATCCACCTGCGGCCTCCCCCGTCTCCGGTCTTCTTGACTTGGTCTTGACACCGGGCCCAGGCGGGGGAGGAAGAGAGAGTGTAGGTAGATGCAGCGCAAGTCTACCCGCACTATAAACCCCTGCGCAAGTCACCGTCCCTGCTCCCGCCTGCTGTGGGGCATACGGTGGACATCATCGAAATCGATGGTCGAACTGTCGAAGTTGATGAGAGTGCGCAAAGTCGTTGTGGTGGTGGTGCTGGTCGCTACGGTGGACGCAGCGGTCGAGGCAAGTAGGGTGATGTCGGTGGATGATGGCGGCGGGGCAGCAACAGTGTGAACGGCGGTGACGGGGAAGCGACGGGCGCGGGGTTTGCAGCAGATGCGAGATAGGGAGTAAAAGTAGACCTTTCCGGGATGGTGGCGCGTCGAGTCTGAAGGTGTCCTACGAGAACAGTTCGAGCGCGGAATGAACGTTGGCAGTGCGAGCATGTTGGGAACGGTAGATGGTTGGTATTGAGGAGGCGAGGCCCATGTGACTTGTAAGGCTCCCTTTTGGCTTCAGCGTCGTCGAACCGCTTTGTTTCGTAGATGGCTGCGTTAGTCTTCACTGTTCTTCTCCAGACCGGGTTTATCTGCAGACGCTTCAATGAGGTCTTGTAACAACGGACTTGGCCTCCTTGTCGGCGGGAACCCGTGGCGACATCTCCGTGGAAGAGGCGTTTGGGTAGCCGTTCGTCGTACATCCACACGAGATGACCGCCCCATCGTAGTTATGCTTGTCCCAGCATGGCGTGGATGCTCAGAGTTCCTGTTCGCTCCAGTAATTCTGTGTACGGGATCTGGTCCTGCCATCTCAGCTTTAGTATTAGTCAAAGACAGCTGAGGTGGAAGTGATTAAGTCTCCGTGCCTGGCGTTTGACTGGATCATGTCTCTCCGTTGTCACCATCGGTTCTCCCCAGTGACATTGTTTGGAGAAACGGGTTTTGCTGAGTTCAGCCACGTTCACCTTGTAGCGTGCCAGTTCCCCAACGACTTGCGCAGTTCCTTGTTCCGGCCGGTTGCTCCTCGGGTTGACTAAGAGGGAAGGAACATTATAGGCTGCCAGATTGAGCGAACTCATCCTAGCCACCTGTGAGGTGTGATGGAGGAGAGGCGAAATTTAGAGGGTATTTGTCCTGTGTTTTGCATTTAACAGCATGTTTTGCAGTCCACGAGCCACGGTCTGCGCACAGATGTCATGAACCCAGCATTTATTTAGGGCACTTTTTATAGCCTCCACCTACTCACGGTGGAAAGTAGTGCTAGCCCTAAATAGGACTGCTTTGTCACACCAGATGGATACCGTTCTCTGCTATGAGGAAACGACCATTAACCTGGGCCGCCTACGTGAGTGCATGTCAGTCTCGTCGCAGGACCCCCAACCATGGAGGCTGAGAGTGGGGTAGAGAGTAGAGAGAGAGCGAAGGGCGGAGGAGGTGCGGAGAGAAGTTACGAAGGGGCAGGTCATCCAGCCACTGGGTCAGTGGTTTGCAGAGTGCTGAAAGGCAAGGGTGGTTTGGCAGTGACAACCAAGCGATATTCAGCCTACCTGGGGGCTCACTTGCCTGGCGGTCTCCTGCTGGGTTGCGGACGAAGCCTCATCTTGGAGATGACGATACAGTGGTCCGTACGGCCAGTGGTGGTGGGAGGGGAGGAGAATTAACGTGTCTGGAGATGCACACACGGATACTCTCGCCTGGCTCAGCCCGCTGGTCAAGTCGGTTACCGGGATGTAGCCGCTAGTCAGAGCCTAGCTTCAGGAAGACACAGACGAGAGCTGGGTGCCAGTTAATGGGCGCTAGACGTAGTCAACACATACAAGCCAGTGAATGACCTACAACCATCATCACGTGGACCCACAATTGGACACTCCAACACACAGCCATGCCAACCACCTGCGCCCTCTCTGGCCTCCGGTTTTCCTGATTTTTCTTTGACACCGAATCCAATTGGGGGAGAAGAAGAGAGTGCGGTAGATGCTGCTCATGTCCACTGTTATTGTAAAGTAAGTCACGAGCAAGTCACCGTCCCCGCCCTCACCTTTTGCAGCGGATATTGTCGGCAACGACGGTCGGAGTGTAGTGTGCACGCATGTTTGTTTTCGGTGGAACATTTCGCTTGGGCGTATTACCGGCTGAAGAGACAAAAAACAGTTGTTGTTTACTTTCCGTTTGTCTCAGGCTCTCCGTAATATGTATCCAATCTGTGCATTTTAGTTTTAATAAATGGCTGACGACAAATTAAGCGGACTTTTTTCAGTCGCAGTACATCTCATGATGTATAGAACCGGATGACTCACTGAGTTGAAAGCTGTGATATGTATCCGAAATAATGCCAGAAACAGCAGTCTGCGAAAGCTGTCAACATCTGAATTCGCATTAGAAGCACATAGTTCTCTTTATTCCCGAAAAGAATAGGTTGGCGGTTGATAGAATAAACACTTAACATGCTCGTAAATTATTATTTAAACTCTCCAGTCCAATATCTTAGGTATTTTGATAAGCAATACTTTCGAGTCCCCTCTCGCACTTTCCAGTTATTCAACATGAACAAGTTTTCAAGAGATATAGTAGAAGAACTGATGACGCAACCTTGGTCTGCTGAAGAAGGCCTGAGTAAATCCCACCAAATATACAGTCTTAATTACTTAAACTGAGTCAGTGCTCGAAGAGGACTTTATTCTTGCGGTCAGCATGAGCTTATTCGGCCACATGTGTATCCACGTCAGTGATATTAATCACAATGTCGACGCACCGAACCCACCTTGCACCTCTGACGACTGTCTAATTTCTAGCATTACAACCCCCCCCCCCATCTGCCAGCATCATCACCACCAACACCACTGAAACCGACTCAGCAGCTCCCGGTCTATCCTGCCCACACTGTCACTGCACATGCATCTCACGCACTTTCGAACTCATCACACTGAGACCGGAAGACCGGTGACAGGGGCACCAACATACACCCGCCGCCATCACCTCATCTACCAGCCCTGCCTATGCACATTCAGCCATCGCATGAGCCTACTCGGTTGCATGCGGCTCCATGATAATCTGATGTAAACCACTGCAAACCCAACCCCACCACCGCCACCACTACCACACATCCTCATCACCACATGTGCCATATCGGAATTCGTCTCACATCACCCACCACAGGCACGGAGCAAGCACATTTCAACTAAGTGGGAAGTGTGGCTCCTTTGCTACTTTAACACATATGAGCTCGGAGCCGCCCACTCCCCCCCCCCCTTTCGGGTAATCCTGGTGGTGTGTCGTGTGCGGGGGCAGATCACATGTGCGGCACAGGTAGATGGACGGCTTAGTCCTGTCAGCCATTACGCCCAATCTCAACATCGGTTGGTTGACCGGCTCGGACAAGCAACTGACCCATGGGAGAGGGTGGAAAGGGTGAGGCCAAGTTTGGGGCTATACGACAGATATCTCCGCTAGCGATGGCCGAACTGCCATTCTTTTAGTCAACTAAGGTCTTACCAAATAGGAGGGTTTAAAGGCATATTAGATTTCTACCTCAGCGTTTATTCTGTATCTCAAAAGTTCAGAACTGAAGGAACCTAATAAGGAAAGTTGATGCGCCCCCAGGATTATAATTACATTCGTTTTGTTCAGTCAGATTTCAACTGCATCCCCCCTTTAACAGATAGCTCGGACCGTCTTTGCGGACAACTTCTGGGTTCCAGGGAGTCTGGTCGTCGCTGTGGAATGGGTTTCGAAACCCGGTCTTGAGGTATCAGACTAAAGTCAATAAATGAACCAAAAGAGATTAGTCTAATCTCCAGTGCACTTGACAGTATCAACTCTCGTTCACCGATCTCCCTTGTCATGTGACCCGTGCCTGGGTCAGGAGCCCATGATAAAACAGATTCTCCCCTGACCGCCCTGCAATCAGGATATACAGTCAGTGACCGATCTCATGGAATGTTAACCGAAGCTCTGAAATGTATTTTCGACTAGAGATTACTTACGTAAGCTTTTGAATGCGCTTCTTTTAAGCCGCCCGCAGAAACAGCACTCGGTAAAAAATGAATGTTTAAGTAGTATGTTTTTCCTTGTCGATTCTCGATATCATTATAAATTCAAGTATATTCCGTAGAATAAATAATCAAAGTGTGCCTCCTTGTGCTCGTTTTATAACAAATTACGTCTTCTTCAAATCTTGTACTTAAGGAAAAGGTATATGTATGCGTCAAAGTTTTCGATTCCTGAATAAATTTGAGCTCAACCCGTTATCACATTTACATTTAGGGTTTGCAATCTACAAGTTTCATACTTTCCGTGTACCAGAAATCGTGTATTCCTTCATACCATTACTAAAATGTAATTTAGGGCTCCTTAAGTTTTGCAATAGGTTGTGTGCTATGTTGTATTCATCAAAAGGAATGTTAATAAACGGTCGGGTGGGACGTCATTTGAATAAATATTTCACAGTTTTAAACACCTCACAGTAACGAGCTTTTTTTGAAATTTGAATATGCCCTTTTAGAGTGCAAAATTCGCAGAATGCTTGATTGTCCACAGAACGGGTATGCGACAGGATGTTTTCGGGCAGGTTTTCTATAAAATATATGTTAATATAGATGGTTACCAAAAAAGTCGCCAAAAAATCACACTGCTTACGTAATTATTCTTTTGCCGAGTGCGGTTTTTGCAGGCGACTAAAAAGAGGCGCATTCAAAAGCCGACATCCTGTCGTGACTGAAATATCTTGTGATTATTCTGTAGGATAATCAGTTGTACAACTCCACTTAAGTAATGCTTCCTAGTCGAAAACGCATTTTAAAATTTCGACTAACACTTCATGAGATCATGTACATAGATACATTGAAAAACGGGCATCTAAATAAATTTAGTTAGGAAGGTGAAATTCTTTTGGCAAACTGTAACTTTTATTGTGTCATTTTTGCAGGTTGGTCCCCCAGCTCGTATGCGTATGGTATGCGTAGGGTAATTTCCGGTTGGTGTGCTACGTGTATCTGGTGTGTTTTAGTTGCCTTTCGACTAGTTCAGATATATTTTTCACGTATGGGGGAGTTCACCAGGTGATGAGTTTTAGTGTTCGGGTGGGCGTAGCACTAGAAATACCTTTACCTTTGAATTGCTGGTGCCTCATGCATTGACGTACAAAGTTATGCGGGCACCGAAATCAATCACCTGACTGACTCCCCATACGTAGGTAGGACATGAATAGGAAGGAAGAAGGTTGTTCGATCATCGGAAACACTTCTTTATCCATATGGGCTTTTGAACTCGTACGTGGCACATCAAAGACCCCGGGGAAGAAGCATGTGAGGCCCGAAATCTCAGCGACCGGTTTTTTGCGAAACGATTATTCTAAAGCATTCATAAGCCGGTGTTTACGTGTTCGCTCCTGGAGGAATCATCAAGAAGCAACACCTATTACATGGCATTCGCTTTCATGCATCAGTGAT